GTCGAACCAACTAGCAAATGCAAAGAAATTCGATTCTGGCAGCTTTGTCATTTATTAACCTAACCTAAACCCACAGAAGGAGGTCAAACTAACTAGCAATTGCAAACAAATTCGGTTCTGGCAGCTTTGTTATATACTAACCTAACCTAAACTCATTTCGATTCTGGCAGCTTTGTCATATACTAACCTAACCTAAACCCACAGGAGGAGGTTGAACCAACTAGCAAATGCAAACAAATTCATTTTATATAAACACTTCGATATAACATTCATTGAGTATAATGTCGAATGTGTATGTTTTAAAAAAAATTAATATAATTCCAGTGGTGTTTACCTAAACGGTGAATGAATCGAATTTGTTTACATTTCCTAGTTGGTTCGACCTCCTCGTGTGAGTTTAGGTTAGGTTAGTATATGACAAAGCTGCCTGAATCGAATTTGTTTGCATTTGCTGGTTAGTTCGACGGCCTCCTGAGGATTTAGGTTAGGTTAGTATATGACAAAGCTGCCAGAATCGAATTTGTTTGCATTTGCTAGCTAGTTTGACCTCCTCCTGTGGGTTTAGGTTAGGTTAGTATATGTAACTAAATATTCTGCTTAAAGTTTTAATAAATATATTTTATAACACAAAAGCACTTAAGGCTATATAACTATACAAAAACAATTATATTTTGTGACTGTACATTTAATGGAATAAAAAAAATTCTTGTCAACATATTAAAGGGCAAGTCAACTATTCGTAAAACGAAATATTGTGTTTAATACATTATACTGGTAGTACTTATACCATTTGTTCATTATGTCACTTAATCATTATATGTTATACTGAAGGTTCATTATACACATTGAAATAATGCCTTTTGTTGTTATACCTTTTGTTGATTATAAATTCTTTAATGAAAATATTCGCGCACTTTACCTTTTTCGTTTGAATAAATTTCCACAAACGTCCATAAACATAAGCGTAAAAGACTTTTTGTTTACTTTTTACTCAAATATTTAAGAATCTTACAATGTTTTAACGAAAATTATCGATACGCTATATATTTTCTTCCCAAACCTACCAACAGCATAAAGCTGGTGGTATGCCGTTGGTCAATATAAATATATAATCGTACTCAGTAAAAATACATACCTATGAATATTTTGGTATTTAATTTTTCACGTAGCACTAGAGCTCCTTGTGAAAAAGTTCAACCAGGGAAGTACTGCCACCTTATCTACTACTGCCGCCAAGCAGTAATGTGAGCATTACTGCGTTCCAGTTTTGAAGGGTAAGGGTGCTGGTGAAATTATAGACTATATAACTGTTATGGGCAGGCGTGTCGTTTACTATCAGGTGCACGACTTGTTCGTCCCATCACTTAGTGTCATACAACAATACTGTCAAAAAACTTTTTATGACGTAATTTAAATAATTATTTTATTTTTTATATTTAATTGGAGTTCACGATGATGCAATTATTTGTCAAGTTTGGAGAGCAATGTTAAGGCTGTGAAAGATAATTTGCAATGCTTTGAAGCAGGCACTACTACAACACAAGGTAGGTAAGAAATACGTGATTAATTATTATAGGAACTTTTACAGAGTTACAAGAGACGGCTTTACACAGTAAATATAATTATTAATACAAAGATTGAATACTTAGAAAAAATTCCTTCGATCCCGCCGGATTCGAACCGACGTTTTCTAGTAAACAGTGCCAGACGCTATGCCTACTAAGTCACGGAACGAATCAGCGGTCCTCAAGAATTTTTCTATGTGCTTGTCGGATCTTTGAATTTGGTTTTTAACGACTTTTTAGCTGTAGCGCCATGTATGAGAAATCTATGAAAATATTTCGTCACCTAATTACATAATTTTTTCTAAGTGTTCGCTGTTTGTATTAATAATTGTAATAAATCAGTGGAGTAATTTCACAAAAAATAATTGAATATCAATTCAATAAAATTTAAAAAATATATTTTTATACAAAAATGTATGAGTGCAAAATATTTGTGTAGTTTTGTATTTATTGTTGATCATCTAGAGAACAATTTCGGTGTTATGCCTACTTACAAGTGACCGCGTAGTGTTCGCGCACGAGTCAGACAATAACCTAATTAGGGGTTTTATACAATTAAAAAAATCAAATATTTACTGCCTTGTTACGTATGTTAACGCCGTAGATGTTCAATATTTTTTTTTAGATGGTATTTGTACACGTCAATAACAAAAAAAATTATGTTTACATACATATACATGGTGAAATTACAGGCACATCATCATCATCATCATCATCATATACAACCTTACTTCACCCACTGCTGGGTATAGGCCTCCAAGTTTCTGTACCACTCCCCACGATCCCGTGCTGAGCTCATCCAGGTTCGCCCCCAAATTCCTGCGATGTTATTCGCCCAAGCTCCCAAGGTTGGCGGGGCCTGTTGGGGGGCGGTCAGGGGAGAGTGACCCACCCTCTAACCCAACCCACCCACACACCCGCTCACCCACCTACTCACCTACTCACTCACCCGCACACCCACCTACTCAACCACCCACTCAAACCCACTCACCCACCCCACTCACCCACCCCCTAACCGACCACCTAACCTACCCCCTAACCCACCCGCAGTTGCGAGAACAGCAATTAACAATTATTTAATTGTGTCGCCATGTCGTCGCTGGATGGCCGACGTTCCTGTATCCAGTCCTTAGACGCCAGTCGGTTATCGCCTTACTCCATCTGTCGTCTTGGGACTTGTTAACTTACGTCTCAGGGGGGTCGGTTGGGTTGCCGGTTGGGTGGCCTGTTGGGGGCCGGTTGGGAGGCCGGTTGGGGGGCCGGTTGCGAAACAGCAATTAACGATTGATCAATTGTTAATTGCTGTTTCGCAATTGACAATTAATTAATCGTCAATCTTTAATTGTCAGAACAATTAAATTTTGCCCAACCCTGGTCACGGGTAATAAATCTTTTTTTATTGGCTTCGTCCGCCCCATCAAACCGCCGCGGCAGCATTTACTTAAGTACAAGCTTTACGGCAATGCTTAGTTGACTAATATATCTATGTTACATTTATAAAGTACTACTGGTGCCCGCGACCCCCAACCGGCCGGTTGGTGGTCCGGTTGGGTGGCCGTTTGGGGGCCGGTTGGGGGCCGTTTGGGGGCCGGTTGGGGGCCGGTTGGGAGGCGGTCAGGGGTGAGTGACCCACCCCCTAACCCAACCCACCCACATACCCGCTCACCCACCTACTTACCCACCCACTCACCCGCATACCCACCTACTCAACCACCTCTTCACCCACCCACCCACCTCTTCACCTATCCCCTAACTGACCACTTAACCCACCCCCTAACCCACCTGCAGTTGTGAGAACTGCAATTAACAATTAATTAATTGTTAGTTGAAAGTTAACAATTATTGATCAATCGTTAATTGCTGTTTCGCAATTGACAATTAATTAATTGTCAATGTTTAATTGCCAGAACAATTAAATTTTGTCCAACACTTGTTACGAGTGATAAATCTTTTTTTATCAGCTTCGCCCTACCAAGCCGCCGCGGCAGCATTTACCTAAGTACAAGCTCTACGGTAATGCCAAGTTAACTAATATATCTATCTATATTACATTTATAAAGTGCTACTGGTGCCCGCGACTTCGTCTGCGTAGAAGACTACTGCTTCGTGTAGTCTACTGTCCTAAACTAATTATCATAGTTTTATTGGTTCTTCATCCCCAGTTTCACCCTCTTCAAGATTCATTTTTGTGACAAAAATAGCCTATGTCCTTCTTCTAGGTCCCATCTGTCTCAATATCGAAATTCATTAATGTTCGTTTGGCTGTTTAGGCGTGAAAGCAGAAAACAGAGTTTTTTTCGAATTTACAATATTAGTAAGTATGGATTTTTTTATTCATGTCAAACGTTTTATAGAAACATCCATAACTCTTACTTTGGATATAGGAAGGAATCAAGGATTTTGGTCAGTTTTCTTGTAAATTATACTCCGGAGCACATAATTCGAGCCACCTTGCATATACAGTATTAAACGCTTAAACAATATTTGTTTGATCAATTATAACGTTGTCTGAGACTGAATATCTCGTACGTGATTTCTATGTAATTTTTCAGGACGAAGATAAAAATATGGTGTAAAATGTAGTAAACGCAATAATGTTTGTAGTTAGCATTTTATGTACTTAAATTATACGTCTTTCAGACACTATATTACTTTAAGAATATATTTGAGCAAGAAGTTTATAAGTTTTTCTTCAACAAAAATTAGTAAAAACTTTTCACTCTCAGGTGATGATAGCTGTGCTATTTAAAATAACTTGTCCCATTGGGAGATGTCAGAATGGAAGAAGATGGTGTCCCGAAGAGGGCTTATTTGGGACACCCGAAAGGACGCCGACCAGTCGGACGTCTCAGGTACCGTTGGAGCGATAAAGACCAGAAAGATCTCAAGGACCTCGGTGCTAGTGGCTGGAAGGAGCAGGCTCAGAAACTAGAGGCGTGGCAGAATCTGGTGTCGGAGATCAAGATCCACTT